TTGTTTTAATAAAAAGTTATGCCAGGTAGAATATGTAAATTAGTAAACACGAACCGAACAACAGTACGAGGCCAAGAATCGCAATTAATGAAAGAGTAAAATATTATATTTTAAACATTTTCATAAAAGTTCTGAAACAGTAGTTGTATAACATACTTGTATTCGGTTTTGACGTGCTAGTTTCATTAAATCATTGTGGAATAGTTTGCTCCTTTATTAATTGCAAGATATGATTTTATCAATTTTTCTAGTAGCGTAATGCAACAAATAAGCGCTTTTGAACATTTTTGTACTGTGATGGCTTAATTGTTCTGTAACAGTAATTCCAAAGAAACATACAAAGAAACTTTATTCCAAAAAAGCATGCAGTTGTTTAAAGGGGCTTGGGATAATCTTTTCTTAAAAGTACCCGCGACGAAAAGACCCGAAGAATCGTGGGATTAAAGGGCCTTCACCGATAGTAATACAGAGGTTCAAATTTTCCTTCATTTCGTACGCACTAAACTCGGCTTTTTTTTCTATTCTTATTTCTAATAATTTTAGATTAGGTTTTTTCCACGGCGTATGATTTTCATTTCCAATAATATTAAAACATACTGTTAACTTTACTTTTACATAAAGCAATACTACAAATGAGATTCGTGTGGAACTCTAAATATTTTCAGATTTTCTACTTTTTAGAAAGCAGTGATATTAGTGTTTTTAATACATCAACTGCTACAGTTTTTACTATTGGGACAATATCATAAGAACACACAAATCTGTCTCTCTTAGCTATTAACGATGTAAGTATTTACATGTTAACTTGGACACTTATTACTTTCGTTATTACTTCACTATTAATTATATTTACGAAATGCTAAATGCTCCCGTTTAAAAATTAATTATACTTCTTCGTATAATTTAATGGCTCCGGTTACCGATAACTATAATGGTAGTGAACGTATTAATATTATTCATACAAAAATGTACAATAATACAATGTTTAGAAAGCTTCAAGTAAGTGCTGCAATGGAGAGGTACAATATACATATGTAGAGGTTATACAGTGGTTACTACACAGACGATGTAGGTATAGAAGGAGAATGTCTCGGACCACTTAGGTGATATCATCGTTCATATTGTCATCGTCCATCAGGTGTTACGCGATGTCGTTAGTGGAGCATGGGAATTTCGCGGCATGTGGCAGAAACCAGACGCCTCCCATCAATGTATGCGTACCTACTCGGTATACGTGCGTTCATCCGTCATCTGGTTGCCCCATCGCGGGTGCAGGGGTTGTGATCCACCCTGCAGCGAAAGATGCGCGCGATTCTTCTCTATCTGATTTTTTACCTTTCCATCGCCCTACCCCTCCCTCGTACAGTGGGTTCTACGTATTATTATGATGCTCTCAATAATCTCACGCGAACCACGGTTGAAATTAATTGAAAATAACCGGAGGGTTTTTTTACGTGCTTGTTCGTAGATATTTATGTTAGATTCTATTATTTTATATTTTCCATTAGATGTTCCTATTAGATATTTTCTATTAAATTATGAAATTATTAGAGCCACTGTACAGGAAGTATATATTTGTGTGTTTGTATAGAAATAAATTCACAATATCAAGGTTATTACACTGGATAATTTTTAATTAACAATTGTCCAATAAAAATACGAAAAAAATTAAATTTAGCTTATGTGATTGTAAAAGGTACAGTTAAAATTGTTGTCAATTTATAGAGGTGGCTGTAATAATCTGGTAATTTACTGCAGAATACAGTTAAATGAATGAACATTACTTTTCCATCGATATTTAAATAGCAAGAAATTTTCTTATGATTCTCCAAATCAAATGGATATACGGAATTGTTTTTTTAAAATGAGAAGAGAATTTGTTATTGCCAATATCTTTCTCTGAAAATTGCTGCTACATTCCTCAAAACTGAAATGAACATAAGTTTTCAATGTCTATACATAGATAGTCAAAGTGGTATAGTATTGTAGTTATGTCAAAGCATCGAACTAACAATTTTTTCTATATGTTAGTGAAGTTAACTCTATGAAAGTCTATTCCATTCAACTATAAGTATACGTTTGAGCAGAGTTACGTATAAAGAGGTCATGCAAGTAAACGATTCGTGTGGTTTTTAAAACAATTTTTGAAAGCGGCGGAACGTGACGGATATAAAGCACATTGATTTCTTAACAGATGATGCTCGTATTCAACCACCCGCGACAACCTGTTAGTGCGACCACGGAGATTCGTAGTTACCGTGTTATATTCGGACCATCTGGTGTTATTTTCTCATGGATGAATGCCACAAGGGAGGAATCATTTAAATGCACTAGCCGCTACCCTGTTTAAATGCCGCATATGCTATTTGTTTCACACGAGACGAGATGCGTGATGAAACCCACCCTTCCTATGTCGCTGTAATTAGCGAAGTGACCCGGTTTTCGATATGATTAATGCTTCGAACGTGAAAAATATACTCCAATTTCCAGGAAATTTAAACTTGTAATAAAGGAAGAAAAAAGACGAAATATGTTACATATTTGATAAATAAAAAAAGATCAAATACACTTAATTCTGTCTTTATACGGTTTCTTTTAGACGATTTTAATTTATCAGGGGCTAGAAAAAATTTAATTCTTTTTTTGTAAGATTTATTTCGATTTAACACGGTAAGATAAGTTTGCCCGTTTAAAAATCTTCACCTCATTGAATTTCAAGAGAAAACATTGTTACTTATTTTTCTACGAAACCGCTTTTAAATAAATGAAGAAAAATTGTTTATCAGGTTATCATATTATTTTTACTGGCTTTATGGTTTGGAGACAATCCATTTTTTTATATGCACGAAATCTCTTGTGTATTTTTTACACTGATTTTTTGGGAACGTATCTACCGTGTAAAAACAGAATTAAGTGTAGGCATAACCAAAAATTTCTAAAATGCATTCTTACACTTTTTAATAATCTAATCGTTGAAATAAACTGTATTTATTTAGTTTCATATTAAAATAACCTAAGGCCAAAATGACTTCCTTTACAATTCTTCCCAACGGAACAATATTTAACAAATGTATAATTACACAAAAGAAGTGTTTATTACATATACAAGAATTTTATTGCTTCTCCACAACGACATCCTGAACATTAAAAGTCAAATTACATTGTTCGCCGAGGGAAACCAAGGGTTTTAATCCACCGCATTTTCACGGATTAAAATCGTGGCCGGCCACCGATGGATGGTCGCTACGAGTATTCACTTTTACGAGCACCAGAAATCTGCGGATCGCGCGAACGTCCAATCACCTGCGAGTCCCCGCTATAGCGGAAGTGGTGAAAAAAATGGCAAAGGGTGACACGCCGTCCTTCAGGTACGATCCTCCGCAGGGTGGGTAATTATGACCATCGTCAACCGAAACACCAGGTTCCAAGGGTCGCGACACAACGGTTTTTATGACTGTGGTTTCGGAGCTAACAAGTGTCGTAAACGAGGGTTCCGTTATATTGTCGTCTACGCGGATCAAAATGGCTACCGTTATATGCGACGTTGCGGAGGCAAATATCTTTCTCTTTTTTCCTGTCGATTTTACCACGCATCGTGCAGACGGCGAATGAAAAGCGAGAGGTATTACGTTAATCTGTCGGGGTTGGGAACGATAATTCTTGGAAGCCCGAAAATCTCGGTGAGAATGGAAAATTGTAATACATAGAACAAGACTGGCTTCTCTATCGAAAAACGTGAAAGAATGTTTAAACAACTACAATTACCTGGAAGGACACTATTTATTAAAAAAATTATTAAATAATTATAAAAGATATTAGATAATTTATAATAACACAAATTACTGTATAGTTATTAAAAATGAAATTCATATAACGTAATCAATTTGTCGAATAAAATAGCTTTCTAATTATGTAATGATAGTGTGTATGTAAAAGTGTTATGATGATCAAACAACTGTAATCCAAAATGGTCGCTAATGGAAAACTTGCTGATGCGACGATAAATAAACATATTTAAGAAACAGACTGACTATTTTAGGTATACTCTTTACAGGGACCATGATGGATGTTGGTCGAAACATTTAATTGGGTTGTATGAGATTATTTTTTAGTTGATGATGCTGGAAACAGCATGGAGTGGTTCAAATGGAAGAATACGAGTTTTCTCCAACGCGTAGATCCAAAGAAGAATTAAAAATTTTATATGGAATACAGCTCATTTAATAACAGCTTTTAATTGTAAATCTGTTAAATAAACTTATTTAATATGAATCACCCTTGATTTTTCCCTCTTTTAGTAAAAATTTATGCTAATAATGAGATACAGTTGACAACATTTAAAAATCTTTGGTGACGTTTCCGATTTACATTACGATAAATTAATATAATACGACTTCAATAAAAAAAAATATAACAAGTATTAATACGTTGTTTTAAAGTCTGTAGTGGCGTTTTCCATCTGCATTAGTACTCAACTAAAGAGTATAACATTCGTATAAAAATATGTGAGAGCATACAATCATTAATTATGTATTTGGATGAATAAATCATTTTAATAAAATATTTGTAGTAATCCAACAATCCTGACAAAAATCTTCTCAACTATGTACCATTACAAATTTCCTCGTTTATCTCATTCGTAAAGGTTAAAAAATCGGTACATGTCAAATTTTTACGCTTACAGAAACTAGCAATCGAACACTTTTGAAAATATAAATTGTCACCCTCAGATTAAACTTGCAGTCAAATACTTAAAAAAAAGCGTAAATGTCACCCTAGCCTCTAATGTTCATTAATAATTAAAAAATACTTTCCCCTGTCGTTATTATTGTTCCAACGATACTACCCCCTTCTCTGTTTATGTGCGTGAAATTGTTTCAATAAAAAAAATAATAGTTCTATCCACATACGTTCACCACGAACTCGAACAAAATACCAGCTACTTTAACACATTCAATGTTACAACAAACATTTCAACCACGAAAACTCATCAAACTTACTCGAAGAAGCAGGCATCTTCGGCTGGGGCACAGGCATATGACCGATCTGCGGCTCCTGATTCTGCATCCTTACTCCACAACACACCACCACCACGCAGTAACTGTGAGTGAATCGCAGCTAACCAACAAACTTCGGCAACAACGAAGGATAATCACAAGTGAGAACAGTTGGCAGGATGGCCCGAACGCAACTGATGTAAACTGGCATGCGACGCAAAAGTACTTCCGCACCCCGAGACCCGTAGAGGACTACTCGACGACGGCCCTTTGCTTCCTGCCTCCGGGATACACTCGAAACGAGGGCTAACTTCGCGACGAAATGTAACTGACAGTCATCGTGGCCGGGACTTCTTGATGGTAAGCACGGTTCCTGACCGTTTTCAAAACAGGACAGGAGCAACGCCGTTCGGAACGCTTCATTGGACGACGACTTCCCTACCCTTCGAAAAAGGGCGGTCCTTACGAAAGGATCTGGTTCGTCCCCGGCTGCCCGGAGGGTTGAACGTCAGCCGGGTAGAGGTGGCGAACGAACGGGGACGTCAGATCTCCCCCACCCTGTGTCCACCCCTTTATCCACGTTCTATTCATCCGGCACGGAGGTGAAAACGAAGGCACTTCCACCCGTTTGTCGCGTCCGTGGTCCTGTCGCCGCACAATCGGCCCCTCCGTCATACCCCCCTACGAATTTTGTGCTACCCCAACGCCGAGGATTATAGATAATCAACGGGTCAATGGCAGTTTTTACGTTTTTCCTCGTTATGCACTGTATGACGAATATTTCGGGCTGGAAAAAGGTCTTTCTTTTGTAGAACATTTAGCGAGTTCTGGTAGCGTTTTCAGGATTCGATTTTTTTGGTAAAAATGGAGTAAGATATTGAGGAGATATGTAAATAAAAATATTTGTGAAAATAATAGTGGAAATATTCGTTGTAGTAATGTATTGCAGACAACAAATTTTTCTGAAACACTACTTTATTTCAAGTTTTTTTTACTTATTCATCCTCGAGACTTTGTCCGGGTGTGGACATTCGGTAAATTGGTTTGGTGATAGTAGCACGTAGATATTTCTCCCACTGGAACGTCCGTGATAATTGCTTAAATGCAAGTGTCTTTTTTTTTTTTTGAAGTTGTGAAGATTTCACTCTAATCATAGTAGGAGATCCATCGAGTGCTTTCTCCGCAACCTTCTGGATTGATCAGTGGAGTAGGGTTACTTGGATGTAGTATTGGGATGATGCTCCAGTCTGGTTTTGTAGTTTTTGCACAGCTTCGTTATTTCAGCAGACACCGGTATTATGTTTAAGTCTATGAATTTCATCATTACGAATATACGATGGAGCATTAACAACTGTTCTAAGAATTATGGATTGTAATGATTCAATCTTCGTAATATAACTTTTTCTTTCAAGTGGATTTGAAAGATATAAATTAGGTAGAAATTTGTTTCTTATTCTAAGAGTATATGGTAATATAAATAAGTTGTTGCATTTGATTTAATTTTTTTAGATTTTCATGGAAAATAGTATGAATAGAATAAAAATATTATGTTTTAATATATATCTTTAATATTTATTTGTATTTTATTCGTATTATTTTTCTGCATACGAGTATTTATCTAGGTATACATAGTATGGTCATAGTAGATTATTAAGTGGAATGATCTGTTAAGCAATTTTTTATTTGTAATTTCCTTTTTTTACGACAAAAATCACTTCCATTTTTTATCCACTTCTATAAAAAATAATTGGCGATTTTCTTTTATTTTCTATGTAGGTATTCCCAATTATTAAGTTTAATAAATAGGTTAAACTTCAAAATTTCCATTATTAGTATTGCTTAATTACTAATCCTTGAAGGTTTCCATCGGTAGTGAAAATTACATTTGTCTCAACTCAATAAGAAGTAAATAATAATAAAGTTAATAGCAACATAACTGACGTTTATACCAATAAATATTTTGTGGCATCGCAAGACAACATTCTTGTCAAGGTAGCATTAACAGTATTTGTAAAATGAGTACCATATATTGGAACTCATTCCAAATAAAATCATATTCAACAACCACATAGTGCCTAGATTTTTATAAACATTTCAATCACTTTAACCCTCCATTGGCTATCTGGGCCATTGACGATCCAAGCGAATTCCCATTTCTCGTGGAATTTCTTTCCAATTTTGATTTCAATTGAAAAAAATTTCAAAACATTTGGCCTAACCAACAATGTCATAATCTAGGAAATACTTTGATGAGTATTCCAGACTTTTTCAGATTTTCTGAAAACCTGAAACACTACAAAAAATTAGGCTCTGACATAAAGTATCCAGTTTATATACGGGATGTGAAAAAATACGTTCACCTGTAGAGGGTTAATTAAAGTCGAGACACATCTATTTAAAGATCGCAGAACAATTAAGGGGATCTATAAAGGGTAAGAAAATATATCTACCAAAACTGGCGTTCCTTGAAGATCGCCCTTAACCGAAACGAAGCCACATACACTGATCTCTCTTGAAATTTACCGATGCATGGGTGAAAATATTCAGGTACAGAGAAGCGAACGAAAGAGAGAGACGAACACATGGATAAGAAAAGCATAGAAAGAATGCGAAGGTCAGAAACCATTTCTCGTTTGTGTGCATTGAATAGAAAGATACGGCGGAGGCGGTTGAATAGAACGTACGCCATCGAATAATACTTCTGTGCAGGCAGATGCGCCGGTTCCTGACTCCCTGACTCCATCTTGAATTATCTCATGGCAGTTCCCTTCCTGACGAATGCTCCCCTCGGCCGGGAACCCAAATTGGGGTGCATGATATACGCGTACTCGCTAACCGAGTGCACGAATTACGCGAAGAATCCGTCATAACCGATGTAATATCACAGAGATTGGATCTCTCGATCACGCGTCCTCGATCACCTCATCCGGGTTTCAAGGGTCTGGCTCGATGATATCGCCTAATGCGTGCACAGGCAAACATTTCGTTCTTTAGTACGTGTGTTGTATGAAGATTGGTACGATAAAATAATTGCAGCGAGGAAGGGATTGCGATTAACTGAACGCTCAATCGGAGCAAGGAGGAAAAAATAGGATTGCGTTTGTGGGATTTTAGCTCAATGCGAGGCGTGAATTTATTATACTGATTGGAAGAAAAGTATTTAATTAAAAGGTTCAATATAATGTACGTTGGAAATATGTATATTCATACGTGTTATGAATAAATACTGTTGTCAACGTGAAGGAATAAACTAAAAAGTATTCTTGCGTATTTATGCAACATGAAGTAATAAAATTTTCTATGGAATGTATAAATTAGACAAAGTTATATAGAAGTTTTTTGAACAAAAGGAATTTTAATCCGAAGGAGTACAAACTTCAGTTAACACACACACAAATGACTAACTTCGTACACTCATCATTTCAATTGTTCATTCCTAATTGTAAATGCCTAAAGTAACGTACGTACTGTAATTTTTTAAATTTCGTTTAACGAAAATGTAGTATAGCTTCCAATTTGCACCTTTCACAGTCAATGAAAACGTATTGGAATTCAAAACAGTAATCAGACCTTAAAATAAAATTTATAATCATCAGGATTACGTACAATTTGATAAAATAAGCTGCAGAGTAAATTTTCAACATTGAAATCTCAAACATGACAAGGAATTGTGTAACAATATTGTAAATAACTCAAGAAAATGTATATAGAATGCTACCTTTTTTGAAAAAAAGATTTATTGACATTTGCTGAGAATGGTATTTTTAATATCTACGTATCCCTTAATTAAAACTATTTCACTGCTTTATTATAAATAAGGGTTTAGTCCATGAGTTTTTCATCACTTCACGAGTTTATTGAGACTTGCTTAGATATATACGAAGTAAATAAAGTAAAGAACCGCATAAAGCATGCGGTGGATTATTTAAATTACTCCAGCATTACAGGAACGAACAAAGATTTCGTCGAAGGTTACTCCTCTTCGAATTTATACCTTGCATCCTCGACTTGCTCGGTATGTATTCAGCGTTGGAAGATCAAACTTTACCAAATGTTCGCTGGACCGTGGTTGGTTTTTGGCTTTGGCGCAATATGTCGATAGAAAGAGAGAGAGAGAAACAGAGAATGTCCCGAAACGGTCTTACAAAAACGTACTCCCATTGTCTGTTGCATTGATGCAAGATGGTAGAGGGGCCACAAGGGAATAAGAGGCTCCAGTGGCTTTGTCAAGAAGGCAAATGCAGCTAAACGACCCGTAATAGGACCGGAATCAAAATACAATTGTCTATCGGACGCGGGGAAAGAATGTTCACAATGACATTGAAGTGTGTCGAATTTTTCCTATTCGGTTTCGTATAGACTTTGTAACAAGCATGAAAATAGCAGAAGAATAGTCCGTTTTTTCTCAGTTATCTAAATCTCTTTTCTTTGTACGATTCTGAGTAGAAAATTGCGCATTTTACAATCATAGTCACAATAGTACATCTTAACACTTCGACAATTTTGAATTTTTCTGGCAAGATACTGAATAAAACAAATTCTGCGATGAAATTTGATAAGGTTAAAAAAATAATTATTCTGACTTGACTATTACTGGAAAGTAAAACACTTCATTAAAATAACAGGCGCGACGAAGTTCGAAAAAAATTGTTTCAACTCTATTACGCAATTGCTCAGAACGAGGTTGGTGGTGTGCGTCTAGTTCCTGTTTAAGGGAGAAGGGCGTTATTGCATTTGGGGGTAAATTTGTGGTGGGAGCTCAGAGTGGTGTATAATGGTATCGATTTTTCGCATATATAACATCATAAAGGTAATACGTGTTTATTGACTCATTGAGAATATATTCATTCCTTGATTGTCATTATTTACTTCATTTCAACTTTGAAACGAACCACTTATTAACTTTTATATGTGTAATAATAATACGAAATAAATGCATGCAACATAAAAGAGCAATATTTATTCCTATGAAATCAATATAATCTGCGTTATATCGATCTTCATTGTAATAATATGGCATTACTTGTACAAAAGAATTGAACCAGTCGATACGGTTCACAGCTGTCTCGT